GGCCAAGATTCAAGATGAAATAACCAAATTAAATGTTGATTCGATGGATTACCATAACAAGATCGAAGAACTTAATTCAAGACAAGATAAAGTTATCAATGATTTACATGGAGAAGAGGGGGTTGAAAAGCTTTGTACAGATATCCTTGAATACTGTTTCTACGATTCATGGGCAGTCCTATTGAGTATAATTAAGATGCAAAAACTGGTTTCATACCGATTAGATGTGATGATTTATAACTGTGAATACGCACAACCATTCCATGGTGGTAAAACAAGCATGTTGAACTGTCTTATAGCTAAGGAGTATAATAAGAAACATAATGACAAGCCGGTATCGTACGGTATCAAAGATAAGAAGAAATTTCAAGGTGCGGAGGTAATCGACCCAGAGACCAGGTATTACATGGATCCTATTTATGTACTTGATTTTGCAAGTTTGTACCCGTCGATAATGCATGAAAACAATATGGGACCTGATACGCTTAGGTATGAAAAGCCCAATGAGAAACATCGAGTGGTACATCTCATAGACAATAACATGGGAATAAATCAGGATATATACTTTATCCATGAGGATACCCAAGAAAGCATCATACGAAACATTCTCACGGATCTGATAAAAAAAAGAAAAGAAGCCAAGAAAGAGCGTGACAAGTATATTGGGATCAATGATGTGATGTATAATATACTAGAACAAAAGCAACTTGCGTATAAAGCATCAGCAAATGCATTATACAGAGGCCTAGGTTCACCATATCTCAGTATTGCTGTACTAGTGATATCACAGTGTGTGACCTTTGTTGCTCGAGAACTGATAAAAACTTTAAAAAAATTTATAGAATCGTATCACACTGGGGAATATAGAGATGACCATAACATGATCTGTGACGAAACCAGTGAGGTAATCTATGGAGACACAGATTCTTGCCTAGCACGATTACCAAAGCATATCTTACATTATATACTTGAAAAGTACTACGGTCATTTGAAATACATAGAGTTGAATAATGGTTTGGTAAAGAAATATGAAGAACTTATATTCAAGATGTATGATGAGCTTACCAAAGAGGGAAGCATATTTGGTAAAAAAGTATGTGAT